TTAATATTGGTTAACCATAATGTTCAAAATAATATAAATGACGAAAGTATATTGGCATAAAAAATGAAAATAGAATACCAAAAAGTCATCGATGCCAATGTTTGTAACCTACCTTATAGTAATTGAATAAAATGTGTACATTTAATACTTAGAGTGATATAACACATAGTCACATTCAAAATAAAAAACATTCAACAAAAAATATAAACATTAAAAAAATTAACATTAATAATTTCATATATTGATAATTGATTTTAATATTAAAATAAAGCCAAACATTCATACACGTTCAATACGATTAAATCAAAAACTATAAAATAAAAGAGTCAAACATTCATATTATGTATTATTGGATAAAAAAAGACAATCACTCATATACATTCAATGTGATTAAGTCAAAAACAATAAATAAAAAAAGCCAAAAAAATTCAAAAAAAAATACATTCTTAATTCATCTAGTTAAGAAGAACCAAAAACTTAACTTACCTAGAAGTCTTGATTATAAAGTCAAAAAATCCTTCGAATAGGACTATAAAGTCAAAACAATCTTTGATTAGGATTAACGGTGTGAGAAGTATTCGATTACGATTATGAGTGTGAAGATTAAACTAATTATGAATAATGTTTACAAATTGTAGAATTAGCCGATTAGGAATTACAACATTAATCAATAATCTAATTCAATGCATGACTGGAAGTTAGTGTGTGTCTGCGTGATCAGCCTTTGATGGTTTGATTGCTCGTTCGTCTCCTGATAAGTGAGGATTAATAGATTATATTTTCAATATTTTAATGGATATTAAATAAGTTTGATTATATTATTTTATATATAATCTATAACTTTTATATATTAAAAAATAAAGTTAGCGGTTCGGTTAATAATTGTTCGGTTAACCTATAAAACCATAACCGAACCGTTAGTTATCGGTTAACAAAAATTAGAAACCGAACCAACGGTTTTAAAATGGTTCGGTTATTATGGTTCGGTTATATCGGTTAATTTGGTTTTGGTTCGGTTTTTCGGTTATTATTATACTCCAAAATTTTACCTATTTCTAATAAGGATTTAAATCCTCAACTTCAAAACAGAATTTAAATCTTCAACCTATTGTACTCCTTTTCATCCATATCGTCTAAATTTGAAAAAATAAAGAAAAAAATACTTCAAATATGGCCATATGGGGACCACTCAAGGTAGACCCATTTTGCGGGACTTTCCTTAGGAAGTTGGTGGCTAGTTTGGTAAATATCTTAATTTTTACCTATGTTTATTTTTGTATCCTCCTATTTTTTTCCTACAAATCTTACTATCCAATTAAATGATGACATGTGTCACATTTAATGCTCATCCTCTCTAATAAATAAAGAATTTTTTGCCACTTGTCAATTTCTTATGCATTTGGACACATGTAATTTTGTAGTTAATTCTTAGAAATTAATTTTCACTTGTCATTTTGTGGTAATTTTTGATTTTCTTAATTAACTATCTAATTTTTAGGTTATAGAAAGTAATTAATGTGTCATTAATTTGTTTCCCTATATTTTCAAATTTTAATATGTTTCCTTCAATATATATAATTCAAAATTGACATGTTTTTTTAAGTTCATTGTAATTTTAGGTAAATGATCTATTTAAAAAAAATAATCATACTTTATTGTTTTTTATTGATATTTAATGTTTTCTTTAAAAAAATATATTTAAACTTTATATTTTCATATATAATTTTTTTTAAACAACCCGTGTAGTACACGGGATTCACACCTAGTTTAATGATATTTAAGTATACTAAAATGACACATGTCATCATTTCATTGGGTAGGAGGATTTGTAGGAACAAAAGTATGAGGATATTTAATTTCTCTTTCTCTAATTATTATCACTATGTGTGAGACTCGTGTATTACATGAGTTTAATTAAAAATATATATATATAAAATTTTAACAATTTGAAAAAGTTTGAATTTATAAGAAAAATGAGAAAAATTTTGAATTATTAAAATTAATGAGGTTTTAATGTATTGAATACATTACATATATAAACCATTTCTAATAAATACCTTATATATATATATATATATATATATATATATATATATATATATATATATATATATATTACTTTACATATTTAATATGGAATTTTAATTTAATAAAATGAAAAATACAATAAAATGACAAGTGGAAAATAGAAAATTCAAAAATTCTAGAAAATGTCATGTGTCCAAATGAAGGAGAAGAGGACATGTGGCAAAAAGTTCTTTTTTTATGAGGGAGGATTCTTATCATAACGTCCAGTTCTATCACCCTAACCCAGTACACAACACAATCATTCAAAACAATTCTGGATTATATCAATAGCTGAAGCAATGTCATTTTCATTGTCCTTTTTAAACAATACCACGCTAAAGAAGTGGTCACATTCAAGCCACTAAAAAAATACTGACAACTTACCTCCACTACAAACTCAATACTAAATCACTAGTCCTTGGAAATGGTTATCATTACATAATATTTATCTTTTTATTTTTTAATTTTTTTTAACATTAAATTAAATAAAAAACATAATTTAAAACATAAATAAATATTTTATACTCCCTCCGTCCTAAAATTATTGTCCACAGAAAAAAAAAACACACATATTAAGGAAACATTAATTATCACTAACTTTATTAAATTAAATGACAATTGTACCCTTTTGTTGCATTTAATTTCATAGTAGTTACATTTAATTTTATGATAGTTTAACTAATAATGAGGGGTATTTTAGTAAAAGTGATATTTATTTTTAGAAATACACTATTATTTTTGGACAAACCAAAACGGGAACATGGACTATTAATATGGGACGGAGAGAGTATTAATTAAAACCACATTACATTAATTAAAAAAACACAGAATTTTAAAACCTAAATTATTAAAAAAACATAAAACATATCAAATAAAACATTACATTACTTAGAAAACATTAAAATTTAAAACCTAAAAAACATAAAAAAAAAACATAAAAAAAAATAAAAAAAAATAAAAAAAAAAACACGCAGAAAATACTACTCGTCGTTGTTGTCGTCCTCATCCTCCTCGTCGTCACCTCCTCATCCCCCTCATCGTCACCGTCCTCATCCTCCCCCCTCATCACCGTCATTTTGCCCTTGGAATTGTCTTTCTCATATGTGCTCGGTCAAAGCGTGACATAGATTGTGATGTGTTTCACGGTTTTGTATTTCCAAAACCCCTGTGAAGGTGGATTAAGTATATCGTTCGTGGTATACGTACAAATAGCCCTACCCTTTTCTTCTATTATCATGTTATGTAAAATAACACAAGTAGTCAACATCGTCCTCAAGTTTTTGCTATCCCATGTTTGTGTTGGATGTTTGATTATGTGTCACTTTTGTTTGAGAACTTCAAACGTTTGTTCCACATCCTTCCTTGCAGATTCTTATGCTAACTTGAACAATTTTCGTTTTTCATTTGTCGGATATGTGTATGACTTGACAAATGTAGCGTACTCTGGCTATATCTCATCACCTAGGTAATACCCATACGTATATTCATTTCCATTCACAACCTATGGCATGTTTGGTGCTTTACCCTGTAAAATATTGTTAAATAACGGAGACACTCCAAAGCACATTCAGGTCATTGTTTGACCCTATCATACCATAGAATACATGTCAAAACCATAGGTCGTGTGAAACAACCGCCTCTAATATAACAGTCGGCACCCATGATCACCTCGCGTGAATTGACATCGCCACGCGTTGGGACAATTTGCGCACGCTCAATGTGTACAATCAATGCTACAAAACATCCCTAAAAACCATGTTTAGCTTGATGCGTGACATACAACTGTTCGACATCACTTTTAGTCGGATGTCACAAGTATATGTCACGGTAAAGCTCTATAACATACTCACAAAAAAGATGTGTACATTCTCGACCCGTCCTCTCAGACAATTTCAAATACTCATCTGATGCATCTGCAGCTATGTCGTATGCCAATTGTCTAAAAGCGGTCGTACATTTTTGTATTGTAGTAAAACTACGTTTACCTCTAGCATCTAATCTCAATTGGAATACTCATAATTATTTTCCAAATCTCTAGCTATACATAAGAATAAATTTCTACTAATACGAAAACGTTCTTCGAATTTCGATAGATGATATAAACTATCAGGGGCAAAATACGTACCAAAAGTTCATTTGCCACGATACAATCCCGATTGATCCATTTTCTATGCTTCTAGATATTTGAACTTTCGCCTCTCACGTACCATGTATTGTGCCGCGAACAACAGCATGTGCAAAATCAACTTGTCATCAGAATCATCATCATCGGATGAAGTAGAACCAAAAAAATTATTCATTTTTTTGAAAGTGTGTTTAGATGTAAAAAAAAATGTGTAGAGTGTATGTATATATAGAGAGATTAAATTTAAAATTGAAAAAGAATTTTTTTTAATAGTCCAACGGTCAGCAGAAGTCAAAAAACAATTCAGCCAATCAAAACCCTCGTGAGCGTCCGTCTTCATGAAACCATCACACCCAACTCACCAACCATTGGGGCGGTGTTCACACGTCCTTTGGCCAAACACGTCAACCTCACGCGTGAGTTTCTCCTTCCACTCCAAATAGCCTTATCATAAAACCTCACAATCATATACAAAAACATCATATCATTATTCATTCACAACAAAATTATCAAGAGAACGAAGAACTATTCAAGGAGATGGTGTCCCAATTTGTATGGGGAATCATCAACAATCCAAAACTGTCATTTCACACCCTCCAATCACAATAAAATAGTCTTTTCACAAAAACAAGAAAAACATCAAATCTTCAGCTATCAGCTAGTTTTTCAGGCCGAACAAAGCCTAAATAAAACACAAGTTTGATCAACTTAACTCCAAATCTTATAACAATCTTAACATTTAAAAAAAAAAACGTCAAATACATTTAAGCTACAAAATGCAGCAATTAATATGAATCAGATCATAAGATCAGTTGATGATTTTTGGTTTTCGGTTATTTTTTTCTTCGATCCCTGATTGAGTAAATCTGCATCTAAGAACCTCAAGAACATCTTCAAATTTTAATCCTCTGCGAATTAATAACACCATTTCATGATACAACACATCTGCCATCTCTGACACAGTTCGTGATTCATCTTCGTTTTCCTCCAGTGTTCTGCAAAACTCATCTGCTTCTTCCCTAAGGGCAAAATGGTCATTTTACATGGGTGAGTAATAGTGTATTTTTTGATGAATAAATAGAAAAGAACATACCGGATTTTTTTGCATAATAATTTGTCATCAAGCAACAAACGTTTTGTCCAAGATGGTTTGCCTTGTTGAGGAGATGAAAGTTCTTCCTTTCTTCTAGAAAGTGTGGATTCCAATGAGTACAATGTTGTTAATGCCAGTTTATTGTTTTCTTCAACCTTAACATAATCAAAAATTAAAAAATTAAATAAAAGGAATTGCTACTCAAGGGTAAAAAAAGGAAGTAATAATGGGAATCACCTGTGGTTGATCATCTAAGGCATCGAAAACGGATGTGTAATAGCAAGTTTCAGCTCCAGTGTGACAGGTGGGCCCATCAGGCTTTCCGAGATATATAATCTGAAAAAATGTTATTATTTTTTTTTTAATAAAAAAAAATAAAGACTAATAAAAGAATATTATAGCATCCTGCTTTTGTTTCTTTTTCTATTATAGCATTGTAGTTCCAGTTTTTTTTTTTTTTTTCTAATCAAGGTAATTTACTTTGAAAAATTTAACTACTTATGGAATTGTACTTTGGGTTAATAGCATAAAAGACCCTATGTTTTGGGGTTTTTCAAGATTAAACCTCTAACTTTATTTTTTTTCTTAAAAAAGCCCTTGCATTTTTCCATTTTTTACATTTGGCCCTTTTACCGGTAATCTTCCAGTCCTTAGATAAAATTTTCCAGGAAAAAACCCTCAACTTTTATTTTTCCGGAAAAACCCTCAGATTTTTACCATTTTTTCCAAAATATTTTTGGGTAAATCTAAAAAAAAGACCTTATATTTTGTGTTTTTTCTGGATTAAACCTCGAATTTATTATTTTTGTCTGAAAAAGACCTTGTATTTTTTTATTTTATCCGAAAAAAGCCCTCAACTTTTTATTTTTTTCTGAAAAAAACCTTCAACCTTCTAAATGCTTCCAAATAAACCCTCCAACTTTTTTAGTTTTTCTCGTAAAAACCCTCACATTTTACAATTTTTTTTCGGCAAAAAATGACTAAAAGGGCCAAATCAGGAAAAATGAAAAAATACAAAGTTTTTTTCAAGCAAAAAATAAATTTGAGGTTTAATCCGGAAAAAACACAAAATATAAGGTCTTTTTTGAGATTAACCCAATATTTTTTTGTCAAATGTGAGGTTTTTTCTTTAAAAAAAAAATGAGTTCTTTCGAAAAAAAAATGTCCGTTTTTCTAGAATTTGTTTTTGTCCAAAACCAAAGTTTTAACAGTAAACCTGCTAAAAGGACCAAATCGAAAAAAATGGAAAATGCAAGGTCTTTTTAGGAAAAAGGTAAAGTTGAGGTTTAATCCAGAAAAAAGCCCAAAGCATAGGGTCTTTTATGATATTAACCCTTACAGGTTGAAGAAACTTCTTATAGGACACTATACATTGAAAGATCTATCGAATTATAACATTGAAGATTGCTTTGTATTTGAATGAAATTTATATAATTGCATAAAATTTTCTAAGTAGAATGTTGTAATAGAAAGAAATAAACTTATAGTAATAAACAAATGAATTAAAGAAAGTAGATTGCTATTAGTTGCATTGAAAGAAAAGAACTTACAGAATCACGATCACAATCAAGGAAGATATCATGAACATTGATGAAATTAAGGGAAGTTTCTCCTTTTATCCACAATGATGATCTTGATCTGCTATAAAAAGTTGCTTTTTTGGAAGCAATTGTAGTAGCAAGTGCATCCCTGTTGGCAAATCCTTGCATTAAAATTGCCCCTGAATCAACATTTTGAGCTATAGCCACAGCCAAACCCTTTTCATCCCATTTCACACTGTCCAACACCGAATTTAACTGAAATTGCTTTTGTTAACATAACTTTAATTTCATGCTTTTCATATTATATAATAATAACTTCAAACTTTCAAATACCTAACATAACATCAAGTAAATGAAGAAGATGTCAATTGTCAAGATCTTAATGCTAAAAAAGATACAATAGTTGACTTATTTTCAATTTGGCACAAAAATATACGGAAGTATTGAATTACTAAAAGACATTAAATAGGATCATGAATTCATGATTGCAATTGCATCGATTGGATCCGTAAGTTGAACCTATTTTGTCTTTGGTTGAAGGGTAGTTTAGACATTTGACAATAGTTAAACAACATTCTTATATATTGCATGCAAATAAGTTAGCCAAGGGAAGTAATAAGTAATAGCAATATCTACTCTCTCCATTCTGTTTAATCCATTTTGGGATGCCAATTCAAACGTTTCCTTGTAAAATTTGATGTAAAATTTACACATAGATCCATTGGTAACTTTACAATTGGTGGGATTTATAAAGGGTATTTGGGACATATGATAAAAGCTGAAAACTTCATTTGAACCATATGTTGCAATTTTTTGAGGGATGTATCACTAACTAGATGTTTGAGCTTATTCGAGTATCATTAAGAGAAAATTGGTAAATGAACTCATATATAGAGAATGTTCTTTGTTAAATCAAAAAAGGTCTTTGTTTATAGGAGAAAAGAAGGTTATCCATATGGACAAATTGAAATAACGAATTAATTACTAATTCACTGCCCCTTTTGGTTATTGGCCATTCAATGATGCAATTTGAGGAGAACATGTTAATCTACATTGCAAATTTGCAATTAAACATGACAAATGCATTGTTAGTTGCTAATTTTCAACTATGTATTTTTTTTCCAATTAAGGTATTGTCAATACTCAATATACAACTATATAGACCTTCAGATCAAACTGAGATAATGTTAAATATGCAGAGAACAGCTAGGATACGAGAATCTGTAATCACAGAAAAGTATAATGGAGTACAGAGCTTCATATAAATTTACCTTAGATTCAAGATGAATGTTTTGATCAGGTTTCTTACTGCAAGCCTTGACAGCAAAACATCTACTGTTGGATGTATCAGTTCGTGTGTGGCAGCTTCCATGGTTGAAAATGGTTTCTCGTGAAGAAATTTGCAGAGCTCTAAGTCCATGAAAATTTGCAAACGCCATAGGAAATATAGCACCTAAAGAAAAATGTGAACTAAATAAAGAAAAGGTGGGAAAAAGGGGGCTTGAATCTTGATAATAATCAATTCGCCCCTAAATCCAAATCAAGAGGACAAGTGTAACACCAAACACAAATAAAAAATGTCATTTGTTAAGAAAAGAAGCTACAGTACGATTTTGGATAATATCTGTACAAAACTCCACACATCCATCTTAAAAGAAATCCACATTTCAACTTCTGAATGTTCAGAAAGTTTCGTTTTAGCCTCAAAATTGACATAAATGTAATCTCAAAGGAAGATCCATACAGGATTTGAACTATATATCTTAACTTTGAAAAGGAATAGTCTCCTTCTTAGTTCTTTCACAGACGGAGTAACAGGTACAACAATACCAATACACTGACGTTGATGCTTCCAATTCGCAAACAGCATGCATAGCAGTTTCATTTCAAAAAAACTTATTTGAAAACAGCGTGTGAACTCGGACAAGTCAAATCCATTCATCACGGAATGCTAAAATGCATCTGCTCGATTTTGTCAGGATGCATGTTACATCCATATCAAATAACAAGAATTTGCAATTCAATGCATGTTCAAATCAAATAAAGATATAGAAGAGACACGCGGATGAGATGATTCAGGTCCTCAAAATGAGATTCTACATCATCGATGACGCAACATTAAGGGACAAAATCTACAAGAAAACATAGGGCTCAAAATCAAATTCTTACAAGGTTTGTTCGCGGGAGAGATGAGTTTGTGCCACGTACCTGAGAGAGAGAGAGAGAGAGAGCTTTGACTGATAGCACAGGCTCAGCTGGGAAGGGGGAAACGGGTGAGTAGGGCAAAGTGGAGTGGAGAAAGACTGGTTTGGACAGGATATATGTTTATCGCGAAATGAAAAATAAATAAATCAATATCACAAAAGTTATTTGCAATATAGCGGATGATTTTATTTGAGAGGGTGTTTGGGATTTAATTTGAAAAATATTTATTGATTTTTTAGTTTTTAAAAAAATCAACAAAAAATGTTTGAAAAGTTAATAAATATTTTCTAAAATAGGTTTTTACTAGTTTTAAAAAGTGATATTTTCTTGTTAAGTTGAAAAGAAAATAATAAGGAGATCCTTTTATATATATATATATATATATATATATATATATATCTGTATTTTTTTTTGTCATTTTAATATATAAATTAACCAAACACTTTAAAAAATATCAATTTATAATTTTTGTCTAAGATAATCCAAACATTTTAATATATATATATATATATATATATATATATATATATATATATATATATATAATCATTGCATAACTTAATAAGTACTTCTATAAAAATGATTTATTATATAAAATAAGCAATCACAAACACTTTTAGATTCTTTTTATAACTTAAATGATCATATTAGTTATATCAATTACTTATAATTTAATCAAGTTAATTGCACATCCTATTAATTTAATAATATATTATGAAAACAATATAAATATGCTTTTCCAGGTAGAAATGCATGATAGATGAACATTTATATTCTATATAATTTAATAGGACTTTTACTTGAGTTGACGCGATGAGAAGGTCTATACACCATTAGTGTAACATCCCAATTTTCAATGCCAAAAATTTCATTTTTAATTAAGTAACTTGTAAAATAGTTTACCAAAAACATTGTCAATGTTATATCAATTGTAACGCCCCGATTCTCAGGTATTGATTTAATATGTGAGTTTCTTGATTTCAAGGGCTACTCGACGAGTTGATTGCCCTACTCGTCGAGTAGCAGCGGGTTGGTCCACGTATTTTAATGACCTACTCGTCGAGTCTAAGAAGGGACTCGACGAGTAGGAGCTGGCAGATGAAACCCTAAATCCCGGGGTTTTTCATCCTATTTAAAGGATCATTGGCCTCCCTCAGCCTCCCCTTTACTGCTTCTTGTCCCTCTAAAACCCTAATCGAGTGTGTGTGTTCCATTTGTGTATTGTTGAGCTTGGAAGAGGATTTTGTGGAGAAGGGAGCTTGGAGATCGAGTATTCAGAAGCAAGGAGCTTGTGGGATCTGAAATCTATCTTATTTGGCATCTTCTGCAAGGTATAAATCGTTACCCTGGCCTCATTTCATTTCTAGATCCCCTTTTGGACAAATTCTAGGGTTTTCATAGTATGTTTGGAAGCTATTCTTGTGTATAAGCCAATATATGAGGTTGTAACTTCAGAACTGAACTCCCTTGAACTTCTAAGTCCATAAAGTCTCCAGTTCTTGCAAGGATGAGACCCCCCCTAAGGTGTAAAGCTCCATTAGAAGCTTAGATTGGTCATTTAAAGCCTTTAGGGCCTTGCATGCGTGTAAAGTTTGCAACTTTACGTGAGAAACATGCCTTGGAAGCTTGGATCTGTAATCTGGAACCTTGGCATGGCTTAAAAAGGGTCTGCATGGATGAAGGTATGAAAAGACTCGGCGAGTTGCATAGTCAACTCGGCGAGCCACATGAAGATGGCCATGTACTCGACGAGTTGGATGAACAACTCGGCGAGTCCGTTGAAGATTGCCTTGAACTCGGCGAGTCGTTCGAAGACTCGGCGAGTCGGCTAGGGTTTCTCCCAATTCTTGGACACGTATAAACTCGGCGAGTTAAAGGGGAACTCGACGAGCTAATCAAGGATTTCACGACTTCTCGAGTTCAGGAAGGACTCGACGAGTCGGTGATCTGCACTCGACGAGTCGAGTCAACATGGACTGTTGACTTTGACTATGGACTTTGGCTTTGACCAAGAGTTGACCAGTTGACTTCTGAGGGTATTCTGGTAATTGGAAGATTTATGAAAAGGGTTTTTATGGTAACTATAGGTGGTGGGTTCGTGTTGGTGATCCGGGAGTTGAGCTTTCTAGTTTCAGACGACAGTTGCGAGGTGAGTTATCCTCACTATATCAACAGGGTCTAAGGCACCAAGGCCGGCCCTTATGGATTTGTATTTGGATTATTACATGATATGTGTATTGTTTCGCATCCTGTTAGTTAGGATGGTGATATGCTTATGCTTAGTGATCTGGTTCGGTCGACATCCTAGTTATAGGATTATGCTATGTCATGACCTGGGGAGGTCGGTGTCCTGGCTTTAGGACATTGCTATGCTATTTGATCTGTTGAATCGGCTTGTCTGTTATTATGATAGCCTATGAATGTATATACACATGTTGTTTGATTTGGGTGTTGGGTTGAGGCGGTCCTGCTTTGTGCTGAAGGCCAACATACCCAGGGCAGTCCGGATATACTACAAAACCCAAAAGGGTATGTTAGTCAGACCAAAGGCCCGGAGCGGTCCGGATAGACTGAAGGCCATGCGAGGCGGTCCAGACGTGCTGAAGGCTCGGAGAGCGGTCCAGATAGATTGAAGGCCTGTGAGGCGGTCCAGTCAGACTGAAGGCTCATTATGTTTGCTGTTTTGTTTATATGTTTATATGACATGGTTATGTGGTTGGTATTTTGGGGGATAGCTCACTAAGCTTTCAGGCTTACAGTTTCAGTTGTTGTTTCAGGTACCTCTGGTGATCGCGGGAAGGCGAAGGCATGATTGTACCGCTCCTTTCGCTGTTACGACTATTATGATTTGATACTGGGATACTCTGATAACTGTATTTTAAAAACAAACTATGTAATGACTTAATGGATTAAAATGTTTTAAAAGTTTAAATTGGCTTGAATTTTTGGGTGTTACAAATTTATAAAACTGTAACAACGTGTCTCAATACCATATCATCAATAGTAATAAAAATTAGAGTACAATCCCAGAAAACTCAATGCGGAAATCATGTGTGTGTAATGCGCTGCTACACCGCCAGCTCCTTCCCCTTAGACGAAGAGGTACCTGAAACCAAAACTAAAAATCGTAAGCACAAAGCTTAGTGAGTTCCCCCATCATTCCCATACCAAATAATGCATAATCTTCGGTATCTTTCAACCGGTAACTGGGAACTAACCTCCCCTTCGATATCTTTCAACCGGTAACTAGGAACTAACCTCCCCTTCGGTATCTTTCAACCGGTAACCGGGGACTATTTCACCCCTACTACTGCTAACACATATTAAGCATAATAATCATATCAAGCACATTAATCATATCAAGCACAGTAACCATATCACATATCAATCCTAGATAATTATCACAGAGACAATCATCTATCCAACACTCTCACTTGTGGGCCGGCATTGTGGTCGTAGACCCACCCCTACTAGAAGGAAACTCACCTCGAAGTCGTGTAGTGTCTGCGCTGATCTCGGTGTGGAAATCGACTCTCCCCGACTCCTCAATCCCTACACGACAACTCTTCTAAGTTATCAACTCATACTCGTAACCCTTACAAGGGTCACTCAATCCAAGTCAAAGTCAAAGTCAAATCCATGGTCAAAGTCAACTTTTGGTCAAAGTCACCATCTGGTTGACTCGACTCGCCGAGTTGGCCCGTCAACTCATCGAGTCCCCATATCCACAAAAGCCATAATCTCGTCCCTATTCGTCGAGTCTAGCAAGAGCTCGACGAGTTTGCCTTCAGCAACACATCGGACAATCTTCAACCGATTCGCCTAGTTCGTCCTTGAACGCGCCGAGTTCATCATCATCCATAAGAAGATGTTTAGCCTATGGCTCGCTGAGTTCCCTTTGAACTCGCCGAGTCCGTCTTCATGTGGCTGGGACATTGCCTTGAACTCGCCGAGTCTGTTCATCCACTCACCGAGTCCTATGATTCCCAGGTCCCTAGTGTACCTAAACAACTGGGGGAACCTTCGATCTTAACAACTGGTCCATAACATAAAGGATTTTGGTGGAAAATACACCCCGACTCGCCGAGTCCCAAGAACGACTCGTCGAGTCCCTCTATGTCCAAAACTATACAGTCGATTATAATGGGTCTTAACGCGTCAAAACCATAGATCTGGCCTCCTAGGGTCCATTTTATACGTAAAGCTTCGAACTTTATGTACATGCATGGGGCCTTTGGCTAAAAAAGCCAAAAAAGAGGTCTACAAGATGCATGGGTCTCTCATGGCCATAAAGTTGGCACCTTTATGCCATGAGAATCCTCCAAAGTCCAAGATTTGAAGCCATACCTCCACATTACACCCCACAACCCTAAAATGGCTTAGAAATGCCCTAAAGGTACCAAAATCCAAGCCCTAAGTTGATTAAACACATGGAAAGTCAAGATTGAAGCTTTTTACCTTAACTGAGCTGGAAATGGAACACAATCTCTGGATCTTCTAGCTTCAACTTGAACTCCCAAGCTCCTTCGTTCTTCTCAAGCTTCACAACCACCAAAAAATGCACAAAAATGGCTTAAGAGCACTCAAACAAGACTAGGGTTTCAGTTTAAGGTCTTCTGGATGTGTGAGGGACGATGGATGCTGATATGGGAGGGGATAAGTTGTTTAAATAGGGTGCAAACCCTAAATATTAGGGTTTTGTCCACACAGCCCCTACTCGTCGAGTCGGTCTTCCAACTCGTCGAGTAGGTCACTTAAACCCCCGATCAATAGTCGAGTCTACTCGACGAGTTGGGCCTCCAACTCGCCGAGTCCCAGAGTAAATTTCAACATTTCTTGAATTTAAATACGTACCAGGAATCGGGTGTTACAAATCTCCCCCACTTATTTTAGACTTCGTCCTCGAAGTCTGCTGCTGAGTCCGGAAAAAGCTCGAGGTAGTGCTCCCTCATCTCGTCCTCCGGCTCCCAGGTCCATTCTGAGCCCTTGCGGAGTTGCCACTGCACCTTTACCAACTCCACTCTCTTGTTCCTCAGATCCTTCGACTTCCTGTCAAGGATCGCCACTGGCCGCTCAATATAATTCAGGCTATCATCCACCTGAATATCCTCTAAAGGTACCACTGCCGAATCGTCCACCAGACACTTCCGCAACTGGGAGACGTGAAAAGTGTTATGAATCTAATTGAGTTCCGCTGGCAAGTCCAACCTATATGCCACCTTGCCCACTCGGGCTACAACCCTGAAAGGTCCAATGTACCTGGGGCCCTGCTTTCCCGGCTTCCTGAATCGAATGACGCCCTTCAAAGGCGACACTTTCAGGAGTATCATATCCCCGACCTGGAACTCCAGGTCTCTGAAGCCTACTCCGAACCTGTTGGATCCTCTCTGTAGTCTTGAGTACCACTTCGGTACTCCCCATGACCCTCTGACCAACCTCACCCCAGGATATCGGGGTCTTGCACTTCCTCCCATACAACATCTCGAAAGGAGGACAGTCAATACTCGCATGATAGTTGTTATTATAGGAGAACTTGGCCAAAGGACGGTAAGTATCCCAACTCCCTCTGAAGTCTAAAACACATGCCCGCAGCATTTCCTCCAGAGTCTGGATGGTCCGCTCACTCTGACCATCCGTCTGCGGGTGAAAAACAATGCTGAAGTGCAGACGAGTACCCAACTCGTCGTGAAACTTCTTCCAGAATCTGGAAGTGAACCGCACATCCCTGTCGGAAATCACCGAGACTGGCACCCCGTGCCGCGCCACTACCTCCCTGATATAGATATCGGCCAACCTTTCGGCCGAAATGCTCTCCTGAATCGGAATAAAATGGGCGCTCTTGGTCAGTCGATCAACGATGACCCAAATCGAATCCACTCCTCGCGCGGTCCTGGAAAGCTTCGTGATAAAATCCATAGTAATATCTTCCCATTTCCACATGGGAATTTCCAATGGCTGCATCTTGCTGTGCGGCCTCTGGTGCTCGGCCTTGACCTTCCTGTAGGTCAGGCATCTCTCAACAAACCAGGCTACGTCCCTCTTCATGCAGGGCCACCAATAATCAGGACGAAGATCCCTGTACATCTTCGTCGCCCCGGGATAAATAGAAAACCTGGATTTGTGCGCCTCCTCCATCAATACTTGGCGCACACCCCCATGATATGGGACCCACACTCTACGGTGTAGCGTCAACAATCCACGGCTGTCATAATCAAAGGAGGAAACCTGACCCACAATACGCTCACTCTTACGGTGTTCCTCCTTCATGGCCTCCTGCTGGGCCTCCCGAATCCGCTCCAACAGCGGAGTCACAACCGTCATCCTCATACATATATCCTTGATCGGCACTGCCTTGCGGCTAAGCGCGTCGGCCACGACATTGGCCTTCCCCGGGTGGTAGAGGATCTCGCAATCATAATCCTTCACCACATCGAGCAACCGACGCTGCCTCATATTCAGATTTGGCTGATCCATGAGATATCTCAGGCTCTTGAGGTCCGTGTAAATGGTACAACGAACCCCATAGAGGTAATGACGCCAAATCTTGAGGGAGAAAACAACAGCCCCCAGCTCCAAATCATGCGTCGGATAGTTCGCCTCGTGAGACTTTAGCTGCCTCGAAGCGTAAGCGATGACATGCCCTCTCTGCATCAATACCACGCCCAAAACCGAGATGGACGCATCGTAATATACTACAAAATCCTTCATACCCTTCGGTGGGGCTAAGATTGGCGTCTCGCACAATCTCTGTCTCAACGTCTCAAATGCGGCCTGCTGCTCAGTCCCCCAGCGAAAGACCACGACTTTCCTCGTCAGCCGGGTTAGGGGCACGACTATCTTGGAGAAGTCCTGAATGAATCTCCGATAATAGCCTGTCAGCCCCAGAAAGCTCCGAATCTCAGATGGAGACCTCGGAACCTCCCACCTCATCACAGCCTCCACCTTGGCCGGGTCAACCGAAATCCCGTTCTGGTTGACAAGGTGCCTAAGAAACTGCACCTCGCGTAACCAGAACTCGCACCTGGAGAACTTAGCATACAAGCTCTCCCTCCTCAAAGTATCCAAAACCTTCCGCAAGTGATCCCCATGCTGCTCCTGATAGTTTTCGAGCGATACATCAATCCTATGGTGTACATGCAAACCCTAATAGCTTTGGATCTAGTTTGTCTAATGAACATGCAATTGAATATCCAAAGCTATAAACCCTAGATCTAATAAACTATAAGTGAAATTAGGGTTTAGATCTTACCTTTGATTGTTATATAGCAATAACAATCAATCCTTGGCTTCAGAAAGCTTAGTGCCTCAAGTGTTGCACCTCTAATGGAGTCACAAACACCACTAAGCAATTGGATGAAGGAGATAAGAAAGGGGAGGCACCAAAAACGGCAGGAAACCCTAATCCAAGTGTTAGCCACGTTTTTGGTGCCCAAGGGTTCCTTATATACTTAGGCTATTAGGGTTATCCAACAAGGAAACCCTAATTTGACTGCTTAAGCCCTAAGCAACCCATGGACCCCTTCTGGAACATGCCTTGGACGATTTCTAATGGGCTTCCCCATAGAATTCGTCCAACCTATTATTCCAAGGTGATCCATAGCCCAATTGCAATATCCTATAATTACAATTCCAGTCCCCTAAGTTTAATTAATCTCTTTTAGCCACAGAATTAATTCTTTATTAATTCTTGACTAATATTAATTAAACAATATGATTTCTCCTTTAATATATTATTCTCATAATATATTAATAAATCATAATTAAACCTTTCTCTCCTTAATTCATCCTACATATTGCTATGGTGAAGGCA